ACGAACGGTACGAACGGTACGAACGGTTGATTCTCTAATTTCATCGTATTGAAAACTCCGACGCTCCGCGAGTTGTTTCGGACAAGTTGCGAAAGAAGAAAAGGTAAGAGATAAATCGAGAGTGATGGATGGAACGACGCGTCATCTCTGTTGCAGAAAGCCGTTAAAGTTGTTAATTTTATACGTACGTCTGATACGTAGAAACGATAATTATTGACGGATAAAGAAATAAACGTGCACGTATGTACAGGCATGCACGCGCGCGTAGATATCCATCTACTTGCGCGTAGAAGAATTCTCTTCTCGTTAGCGATTACGAGATGTGATGCATCCTCGATGCGTGTGTCCTTGTATGAGATAGGAGGGAGGGACGTGTATAGACGTGTACGAACGTACAAGAAGGGAGGGGACACGCGTGAGATAAGGATATACGTATATTGCACCACGTATCGCGTTTGCGACGTTCGTGTGGAAAATATAATTTTCCGTTCGAACGAGATGGCGAGATACTCGTCGCGGGAATTGCATTGGAGAAAGCATCGGAGGATCCGTCGGATTTTTGCCATTCCATTGTCGTTCGAGACGAGACGAACGAGTGACAAAAGAAAACCGATGATGTTCGCGGCTGATCGAGAAAGATCGGAATCGTACGGAATCGTATGTTTACGAAAAGTATGAAAATCGAATCGAAAGGAACATAGCCTAATTCGTGGAAGAAAGTGGAAGGAGAAACAAGGTTGTGAGAAAGGTAAAGTCGTCAAAGGTTCGAGCGACCAGATGGCTCCTAAATTGAGAGGAAAGGCGAGGAACGAGTCGATCCGTAACGCGCCACGTGTCAAACGAGAAAAATTTTTACGCGAGCTTGACCTCGCCGCTTTGAACGCGGAACGGAATCGACGTTTCTGGAGAGAGACGCTCACGCGTGTAAAGATGCCGGATGTTTGGAGAAAGATCGATGTAACTTGGCAGACTTTGGAACGTGCCATCGACTTCAAGGGCTACAGGTAGGACGAATTTTAACGACGATCCGTTAAAATTGCGTACATCGTGGGAATTCCCTGTATTTTCGCAGCATCAGTTTGTTACTGGATAGTCTTCGAGAAGCTGAAAATCAACGTCGGACGACGAACGGTGCTCTCGTCGGATTGATCGATAAATCGTTGGCGGCACACGAAACTCGACTGGCAGACGCCGCAACGCTCTTTCGTGCGAACGTCGAGACAGCGTTGGCCGATAAAATTTCTCAATTTGAAAATATTAATAACCATCGAAACGAGAGAGAGATTGCTTTGCGAAAGATTCGCTTGCTCGTGAGTCACCGAGGTGAAAATGCATCGAATATCGCGACAAGTACTGCCATTAGTAAGATACGTGCATCACCTACGAATATTGTCCGCGTGTTTTTCTTTCGTAAACTAAAAGGGGATAAGAGTGTCGTATCATTTTTTCACGATTAACAATTTTTCAGCGATTACGAAACTGATTACGATCTGTCTGATATCTTGTATAGTTTCTAATTTAACAAGGTAAGATCGACGCATTTGTGGAGGATGGGGAAAACGAGAAAAGGATAATTATAACGCAGCTTCGAACAAAATTAGAGAATTCATGGGCCGGTTTGCGCAACGTTTTTTCCGATTATCGTAAAAGTACGTACGCTTGTGCTCCTGGTGTTTACACATTGTTCTACGTATTGCGAATGTGCTTTGTAATTGTATTCTCCCCCTCCCCCTCCCCCTCTGTCGTATGTACATGTACGCGTAGATACGGAAGATCGACGAAAAGATTACGAGATCGTCGAGAGAAAGGATCGGATCGATCGACAAACGATTACTCGACAATACACGCGCGTCGCGATTCTCTTCGACAGTATCGTGAAATTCCGTGGCAAGATCGATTCTTACAAAAAAGAATCGACCGTCGAACTGCGAGACGTTACGAGAGAGTCAAATTTCTTCCACGACGTCTATCGAGAAACGAACGAACGTTTCGTTCTTGGTACGTATTTCCGCATACGTATTTCTGTCTCTCGTTCGCGGAGCGAAAAGGAACGACAAGTTGTTTCATAGCGGGTGATTTATTTATTAGGTTGTAAAAAAGATAAACATAAAACAACGACAATGTCCGAGGAATATAATCGTAGCGTGAAACACGCGAGACGTTTGTTGATCAAAGCAGAACGTATACTCGGTTACGTGCAAATCTGTCGAAAATACGAGACGCAAGATGAAAAGATCCAACTTCCAACGATCGACGATCGTCCTACGAGATCGTCGATAACCGATGACGACGATGATATCCTTCCACTTCGAACGGTTCGCTACACACGCTACGCGCGATGCTATTATTTTAGCTGTAAAACCACCACTCGCTCTCGCGTTAATTCTTCTTTCTTTCTTTTTTCCTTTCTTTTCTAGGCTGCGACAGACTTTCGACGTACCGTTAACTTTTGGCGTCGATTAGGTTTAGCCCGAATAATCACGGCCGAACTACGTAACGAGAGAAATCGGTTGACCGTACGAGCGAATAACTTACGAAGATTGATGAGACGCTGCCTCGTCGACGACGAGACAGGTTCGACGTGCTTCGACGCGTAGACTTTCGACGGATGATGAAAACGAATGGTATACGCACGACGCAAGTACGCGTACCAAAAATTGATTTATTATCATCGAGTACAACTGCCGTCGTTTCGTGTACGCCATCGAAAACGACGCGACTGTGTTTCTTTTCAATGGTACTTTGTTACTTTACGCGTACACGAGATCGGGAAACGCGTTGCACAACGTACATATCGTGTATTACAAACGTGCCTGTTACAAACATGAAATGCGAGTTATCTTTGATTGACAAATAAAATTGTTCGTGGCTGATAATTCGTTGCGATCGTCTGAATCCAACCATTCGTTCGCAGCATGCGATTACGATGGAAAATAGCATCGCTGTCGCTCGCGTTGATCATGTCCGTCGTCGTTTGCATCAGCGCCAGGATCGGTATTCGTTAACGGTGAAACGGTTCGTTTGTCAGTTTCGGCGATTTATCGTATATACGACCGACGAACGGCCCCCGACAACCGGCTCTTGCGACGGTCTTTGCAATTTGTGTTCCTTCTTTTTTTCATTCTCCTTGCAAAACAATTTAAACTTTGTAAAAACGCAATTATAAAGATACCAACTCGCGGTCCGAGGCGAGTTAACGCGATTTGTGTTTATGCGCTATACGTGACAACATTTTATTGCCAGCGAGGAACGTAACGACGCCAAGGCCGAAAAGATACCTAAGAGTAACGAACATGTTTAGCTTTAACCAAAATATCCCAAAAAGCGTAAAAATACCTGAAAACACACAAAAGGAACGAATATTATTTATTGATTACGATCGATACGAGGAGGATTGTTTTATTAATCGATAAGAGTCGATTTATAGGTAGGAACGGTAAGAACGGTAAGAACGGTAAGAATTCTCAAACAGAAAGTTTGTGTCGTGAAAATCGGGCTACAACTGCGACGTCGTAGTGATCGCGCACTTGCGAAAAAATCACTTTTTCTTTATGCCCGAATGACGACAAATTAATCGAAAATTATAATTTGTCGATTATCGTCGGGCAAGCTACGAGTGACGTTGACGATCGATCGACGATCGATAGTATATATATATACGTGCTGCAGTTGACGAACCGACCGACGTTATATACTTACTTCCAAGTCCAAGATGGAACGTCACGGCGCTGATGGAGAATGGAAAATTCGATATATTCACGCCAAGCTTGGCCCATAAAGCGAACAACAAGAGAATCGGTGCTAAACACAGGCCGGTGAACAAGTTTGAGACAAAAGCGGGAGGCCTCTTCTCCGGTTGGCGAAACATGTGCTGCAAACATGTTGCAAATACTTTTGTCAACGAGCGTGACGGTGATTTTGAACCGAATCACGTCGGTCGATGACAGAGTCCAGTCGAAGAAAAATTTAATTTTCAAATTTTCAAAAAAATGTCCGTCGAAATTCGAATACGTACGAACGAACGTGTAAACGTTCGTACTAAATGAAATTTAATTTATTTCGATTGAATCAACGAGACGGCAACAATGTTCTTTTTCCAATGTTAAGGAGGTGATAGAATCTTGAAACGATTGCTATCACTAACGAGCATTGGTTTTTCTCCGATGATGGATTAACCCAACCCCAACTCCATTCGGCGTACGCTGAAAGTATCGAATTGTCCGAAGCACGGTTTCGGTTACGCGTCGTAAGAAATTGTTGATTCGAGCATCGATCGCGAGTAGAATAAGTAACAGCAGTCGTAGAAAAAACGCACGCGAGTCGTACCTTTATTTCTGGCTTGGTCGTGTAAATGTTGGATTTGTATTTGTAAAGCGCGTTTCTATCTGCTCGTCCGATGGAAGATGGCTCGGGAAACTTTAGATTGATCGTTGCCACTGTCCATTGGAAAGGATTGCTCAGTACCGCGTCGCCGATTATCAATTCCACGTTGTAATCCCCACTTTGATAGTCGAAATTCGCAGCTGCAGTTCCTATCGGCTGAAACGAAAGCAGAGATCGGTGGAACGGTGGAACGCGCGACGGTTCGACTAATTTCAATAGAGAGTGTAGTAGAGCTAGCGTATTTACGTATATAGTAGCGTGTTTAATTACCATGTCGAATTTGTAAAGATGCGACGACGTGTCCGTTTCGGCGACGAAAAGGATCTCGTGTCCTCTTTTCGTCTCGTCATCGTTCGAAGCGGACGCGGAAGAAAGTCGTACGAATGCTTGATGCGTACGCATGGGTTTTCTATTAGCACCGTCCTTCAGTAAGAATCGCATGACTAATTTCTGTTGGGAATCAGCCTCGATCTTTTGCGATAATTTCTCAGGGAACAGAACTCTGTAATCGATGTCTAAATATATAGATATATATATATATTTATTTACACGTACGATCCGCATGATTTGCCATTTGCCATTTCGATTGTTCAATTACCGTGTAAGCTTTGGTTGGGTAGTCTGGTCGGCATCGGCAGTGCCAATTTCCATGTGATCGACCGCAACTTCGCAAAGAACCTTTACCGTAACGGTGTTCGTTACCGCTCCAGCCGCTGTGACCGATATCTTATAAAATCCACGTTCCGGTTTCATCTCCGTGAAATTCATTACGAACAAAGTTCTAAAATTTAACGATCGCATTGGTATCGCAAACGATAATACGCAAAGCCTGTACTGATCGAAGTATGCGCGTGAAAAAGAAACGTTGTTCGTCGAACTTGTCGCGATCTTTCGCACGATTGTCGATCGAAAAGATTAAAAGACATAGTCGACCAACGTGAATGCTTTGCCCCGACGTATAACCGACTTGAAAAGGATAATTCGAGTCGGCAAAGTATCGGGGAAAGAGCGATCGGTCAAGGTTTCGGCGACGCTTACTTATCCGTAGGCGAAGGCTGCAAACTTTGTTTGTTGAACATGACGACGTCGTCGCCGACTCTTGTCGCAGAATTTGCCGTCACTTTGATCGAGTTGCTCGCTTTGATCGGGTTGCCTAGTACGTCGCAAACTCTTATCGTCACCAAGGGCTGTCGAGTAGAGATACTGATCTCTTCGTTGGCTAACGTTACGCAGGTCGGTCTTTCGAAATCGTTATTCGCCAAAGTCGTTAAGGCGGAAAGTAAGCTTGAAACGCCTCTTGGTGTCTGCACGGAACGTCGAGACAGAAGATAATTGGCCAGCTTCGCTATCTGTCGAGATGTTAATGGCGGTTTCTTTTTTAACGCGTTGGACAGCTTGAAGATGCCGTTCACTAAGAAACCTAAGAACGAAGCAAACGAAACGTGAAGCCGACGTTGACGACGCAACGACGATACGCGCGGTATCGTTCCAGAAGAATTCGTAACGTGTCGCAGGTAACAGCGATCGCACGCGACGCGCACTTGCTACTCACTGGTTACGGAGAGACCACCTTCGAATTGCAAATACTGTCCGTCTATCTCGTCTGCTTGAACAATTGCATCCTCGATACGATCGAAACCGAGCGTACCGCCAAGGTCTGAAGCAATGTGAAACGTGTAGCCCAAGCTGCTCGTGAAACATTAACCGATTAAAAGAAATTACGACTTTGTTCGCGACGAGACAAAGACTGAACGAAAAAAGCTTATTAAACGTGAATGAACGGAACAGGCCATACTTCCACAAACTGTCGTCTTTCCGTAACGTATTTTGCACGCTCTTGATTACATTGTCGACGTTATCACGGGACAATTTTTCTGACAAAACAGTCAGTCCGCTTACTGCGTGGTACAATTCCGTCATGCTCGAGGTCTCTTTCTCTATCGCGGTCAACAGCACCTATTTAAACAAAATAATTTCGTTGCGAGTCTAACGAAAAGAACGTTTACCGACGACGCGTGTGTTGAAATTTTCTTCTCAGCAAGTGCGAGTTTCTTCAATATAGAAATCCAGTAGAACGAAAGTTTCGAAACATCATTGTTC